TGTGTGTGTGTGTGTGCGTGCGTGCGTGCGTGCGTGTGTGTGTGTGTGTGTGTGTGTGTGTGTGTGTGTGCGTGTCTGTGTGTCCTAGATCAATGTATGCAACAACAGAGATGCTCTCAATCAATATTTCAGACGTATATCACTCAGGTATGGTTAATCCAATAACAGATAACATGTGTTTGGTAATACTTCAGATTAAAGCACTACACTAATAAATGGAAAACAGTTTATGTTCCATTAAGAATATGCTAAAAATGTTTACCAGTTAAGAGAAAGTACTACCAAACCCCACTATCTACATTTCTCTATACAGTATATTTATCTCGTGTACATACAGCCAGCACACAGGTATTTTAATCTATATTTTAGGATATTTTCCTGTTCTTTATATTTTAAAAATGTATATACATCAGCAAACTCAAATCATAATCTTTACTCATAGGGTGTTTGTATATTAGATTAAATATATGTGTATAAAATTAATATACATACAGTGAACACACAGGTATTTTAAACTTTATTTTAGGATATTTTCCTATTCTTTATATATTTTTAAAATCCATATGTAAACATCAGCCAACTCAAATCATAACCTTTGCTCAATGAGTGTTTGTATAAGATTAGGCAATTTTCCTTTCAACTTTCACCTATTCAATCATCCCTGTCTTTTCATCTAACCGACAAGGCAAGCGTAAGCACTATGCATAGTCAGGCGCCCAGAGAGTCATGTGACGAGCTTGCACGTGTTTGCTTGGGGAAGCGAGGCTCTAATGCAGCCTGCTTTACTCCACTCACTCCTTCTCCTACTATGCACAGAGACAGGAGGCGCCCCGGCCAATCACAGCATGATCTGCTTGCATGCTTTGCATATCTGTAGTGTCCCGGGCATTTCATCCAATCACAACACTGCTTTTTTTGAACTATGCCTTGTAGTTCAGATTGCTCGGAACTGCTGCATACTCAGTTGCACATTGTGACAGTTGTTCAGAGAGTTAGACTTTAGCCTTCAGGATATAATGAAGTCACATATTTCTGTAGTTAAATGCTTCAGTAGTTCTGAAGCAGGATCAGCTTGGTCTTGAAGGTTAAAGTGAACATTCAGCAAAGTGAACAATCAGCAAAAAAGTGAATATCTGCCAATATCAAAAATATGCAAAATGCTAATTAGTACTATTTACAGCTAAATACATAATTAAATAAATAAACCACTTGATTTTCTGATTTATTTTAGTCATATGATAAAGTATAAGTTTGAGAAAAATTATTTATTCTGTAATATAACGGTCTGGTAACATTTCTTCTAAAATATTTAGTATTTATATCTGGAAATTGACAGCTGGTCAAAATAACAAATGTTTTCCATTGCTGTGAATGAATTTTGTGTTTAAAGTACGTCTAATAGACATCTAAGCGTAGAGAGCTTAGCTAAATCAAGGCTAAACGTGGGCTGTCAGTGGAAATCTAATATCTAAGAATAGCCCAAAACTAGACTAGTCGTCAAATAGACAGATTGACAGATGTGTTGTCTAACATGACTATATGTGTAAAAAGATGTATTGAGACACGTATTTCATGGAAAAAAGACAACATTGTTATTTCAGGTCTACATTCTACGCAAATAATTAAAAAAATTTAAATATGTAATTCCAGATAAACTGATCATTTATTCAGAGTGTGTAAAAAATAAAAAAATAAATGACGTACTTAATTGATTTCATTTTAAATAAATCTATTATATACTTTAGCTAAATAATAACATTGACAGCAAGCCATTCAGAATACATGTAAAAGTGAGGGACAACAAAGCTCTGCATGCACTTATAATAAATCACATTTCTTGTTGGATGCTAAGGTAATCTTTATAATTATAGTTCTTGATGTGAATTGACTTTGACATCGCTCCATATGCAGTGTGTAAGGATTTGTTTACATGGACACAACTAAGACTAAGATGCTAAAATAGCTCAGTCTGATCAATATTGAGTGTGTCTGATGTTGTCTCCAGAAATTACATGCTGTCAGGAAACATGCTGACTTTGGTTGCCAGTATTTTTCCCCCCAAGGTTTCTCAAAGGATTTGTTGGGATTAAAACAAATAATTTACCACTGCAATGCAGTTTTCCTATTCTATTTGAGTGAACATAATGAGATTGGCCAAATGAAGGCCACTGTTAAGTAGTTAAAATTGCAAATCAGCCTTTCTAGAATGAATACCACAACAGGGCATTTCACAACTTTGGGACTCTGAAAGTGTCATTCTGAAACTGAACCCAATGTTCCAACATGACAATCTTCATAAATTCTTTGCCACAGCCCTCAGTGCATAAGCAAGTGTGCTCTGTGATTTGTCTCCTGTCAGTGCTCTGTCTATTCACATGGAAGCCCCCATTAAATCACCTTCATGTCATAAAGCATGGTGAAAGATGCAGTGTCCAAAGACTCTAGCATAAGCAACATGCTACTCTATTGATCACCACAAAACACACACCAAAAAAAAACCATGCATGCCTTAATGTCGGAAAACAATGTGTGAATTCTATTGATTGCTGTCCTTGGACAACTGCAGCTAAAGGCACAATGCTGTTGACCTCCATACATCAGGGCATAATCAATGAAATGATACAACTGATGAAATGGACTCTTCTCTTGACTGAAAACTCCAACACAGACCAAACTCCTCCAGTGTGACAGCTGTCAGAGACACCCACCAGACGCTCTGTGCTGTCAAATCCCTCCCGTGACCTTTCACGCTCTTATAGAAGGTGGGCTTGTTTGGCTTAAGTAACACTCTTGATGTTCCCCACTATAAAAAAGCCTGAATGTCACTGGATGTTTGTTTGCATTGCATCTGTTGCTTTCTTTCACTTACTACATGTATTTGTTCATTAGTTTGCTCTACGTATTAGCATGATCTGTTTTATCGATTAAGTGTCTAAGTGCATATGTGTGATTTTATTTGTTTATGAGTGTTGTCAAGGAGGCATAGTTGAAATCAAACTTTCGCTTTGACCTCAAACCTTCAAACAGCATGTGTTTGGTCGATAGCCGGCTAGTCAGCACACAGTTCAATAGACTGATTGGGCCTTGGGGTGATTTCTGATTTGATTGAGAAGTTTTTATAGTCCTTCGAGGACTTGTCAATTCTAATGCATTCATTTACATGCAATTCAGACAGTTTAACTCTTAATGGCAATAAGATTTATGTCTTTGGTGTTAATCAGTTTCTTAAGCAGGCTTGCTGGGTGTCAGTCTGAATAAAATGACTTGATTGGTAATACATTTTGATTCATGATACTGAGTAGGTTACTTGAAACTATTAAAAACCGGAGTGACTAGTAAAACTGCAGTTGACAAGAGCAGCCAATCAATGAGTCTACTGTTGCAGGGTAATCACACTAATTGTTTAGATATATTTTAATGCATTAAACTATTATCATAAGCTTTCATTTTGATATAGAGCCAGGTCTATCTTATATAATTTATGTGATCCTGGACCACTAAACCAGTCTTATGCTGTACAGTATACTTTTGACAATTTCCAAAAATACACTGTATTGTTCAAAGATTTTTCATCATTTAGAATAATAAAAAAGATAATCTTCTATTTAAAATATTTTGTAAACAACCTACTGTAAACACGAGAACTTAATTTAGATAACTTAAAACATGATTTTCTCAGAATTATGATTTGTTTACCCTCCATTTCCAGATACTAAAACACTTGTATTTCTGCTAAATAATTAAATATAAAATATTGTGGTCCATGAGGGTCACATGTTTTAATTGAATTATTGTTAAAATGTTTTTTTTTTTGTTCTCTCAATTAAACTTCAAATGTAAAAATTACACTACAATAATTCTGTGTGGTGAAGACTTGAACGCTAAAATTCTTGCCATTACAGTGTTAAGAAACTAGTACTGAACAAGTAGTTAGAGGACAAAAAAACTGGCAAATGTTTTGAAATAAAACATCTGAACAGTGTCAGGTGTGGTATTGTGGTATACGTGGAAGAAAAGAAAATAAACACCCACTTATGCAATATTTTTGGAATAATTCAACCGCTCATTGTTAATTATTTCTTACATAAATGTTGTAGTTTCAGTGTATTTACTCACTTTAAAAATCTAAAAAAATAATGGATTTATTTCATTTTAATGTGTTTTCGGTTAATTTATATTTCCAACAGAAAATTTGGATCAAAAAAGCACCAATATCAGCAAACTTTATCGGACCATTTTAGACAGCATGTCAATCTAGAAAATCATGAATAAAGAAGGCTTTCTTCAGACCTAATAATAATAATAATAATAATAATAATAATAATAATAATTTCCTCTAAAAATAAATAAATAAATATAACATAAATAACAGAGTAATAAAAAATAAATAAAATAAATAAATTAATTAAATTAAATTAAATAATGATTTGCAAATATTTATAGCAGAAGGCAGAAAATATGACAAATGTTGAAGTGATATTCTATCCAAAAATGGAAATGATGTGAAATTAAGCATGGACTCTAAAAAGAATTATATTAAAATAAATAAATAAATAAATTTGTAGCTGACCCAAGCTCTGTTTCTGTTAATGGACCAGCCAAAGTTAATGCTGGTTGATGCAATTTTTTGACTCCATATGCACAATTAGTTACAATGAAATAATAGTTATACTGCATTATGTGTATACTACATATGGTGCAAAAAGGATGTGACCACTTCCTTCGGTAGTTTATGATTGGTGTATATATTATCTGCACAAAGCAGGCATGGACTTTAGACTTAATGAACTAGCATCATAAATGAGTCATAGACAGTGTAATGTAGACTGCACAAGTAGTTTCAGTTACAATTAGGAACATGCATCCTATACTAATCCGTGCATCCTTCTGCATCTATGTTTAACAAGCATGCACCTTCAAATAATTCAACTTTCTGCTGTTTTATTTAACCCAGCAATGATTAGGGCTCTGAGGACCTGAGCACACTGCCCTCGGTCGGTTGAGATTTTCACTGCATGCGGGTAGAGCAGTAAAGCAGCGCTCTCTGGCTCCTCTCATCTCATTCTCTAGAAGATGGCGGACTGCGCTTCACTGTTAGATGAGGAGCTCTCTTCATTTGTCTTCAATTACTTGACTGAAAACTCTGGAAGCCAGGTAAGTGAGGCACCATTTCCGATAGAGCAGAGTCGTGGCTACTTTTCCTCGGCTGTATTTTTGCACGTTACTGTCTGTGGCGCGATATTCTTGCCTTAATTCATCGATGCTGTCAGAGCGTCTCAGCCGGCGTCTGGAGTCCCTGACGTCTGAGCTTCACGTGGAGTTCACAGGAAATAATGCATATATGCGAAAAGTGGCTTACGGAAGATTAACGAACAGATAATCGTTCTTTAATTATGTGCTCTTTCGAGAGCTCGCTGTTAGGCGAAGGTTAATTATTTCGCAAGTGCGACAGAATAAGTTCAAATGTGTTCATCAGTTTGCCAAAAATCACACCAATTTCCCGGTCTGTGTGTGTGTGAGTGTGTGACACGTGGGTGCTCTGGTAAACTTGAGTTTAAGTGGCTTGATGCGATTTTGTAGTTTTAATGTTGCACTATAAAGCGCACTAGTCTGTACATTTTGTACAGAGTTCGTGAGGATGACGAAAAGTATTACATTTATTCTCTTTTTCCTCTAATCTCAGCTCTTGTTGTCTAATGGAGCATCACATTGGATTATTAGTCGGTGCAGATAATTCTAATTTTGAAGCTGGCGAGCAGTATTTCTATAGTTGCATAACTAATATTCAGAAATTGCGTGATTTGTTTGTGCTCATCTAACTTATATGCTGTAGAACGAATGCAGTATACAGTTGAGAGTGTGATAGCCTTGTGGGCCTATGGAAAATGTATACACATCGGTGCGAATTTGCTCAATAGCCCAGAGAACTTTTAGCTAAATTGACGAAATGCATTGTTTTCGTAATCGTTTGCGTAACTGTTACAAAACCGCTTGACGCACTGATTATGAGTAGTCAAACGATCCCTGCAGCTTGTGCCTGAGTGTGCTGTTGATATCAATAAATAAACGTTGAGCATTTTGCACTTTCGTGCTTGTCATGTCAAACAGGCTGTTCGCACTGCAAGTGTTTATTTATAGATACAATACAAAGAGAAAAGCTTAGGATACTTACTTTGAAACACTTTTTAGGCTAACGTTACACGGAAGCGAAATCTGCTTTGAAGATGATTAACTTACACGAGCATGGGGTGAATAACATGGTTATTAATGTATTTTGAATTCATATAATGGCACTTGCTATTAAAATATGCCTTCTCGCATCGCAAATTAAATCATGTATGTTTACAAATCGCGCGCTCACTATACTGTGTCAGGTGTCACTGAAAGGCGATGAGTCGCTTTAAACGGCTCCTTAAAACGCATGAACGCTGTGAGCAAACGTTCGGTGGTGTTTGTCCTTTGTCCTTGTGTCAGCGGGAATATTGTGAGTGTTGTAAATGTGCTTGTTTCGGGTTATTGGGTTGAACGCGCTGTCTGGTCAGTGTAATAGTACTCCATCCTCGTGACTGGAGTTACAGAACACAGTTGCTGCAGTCATGTGCTCGCTGCCGTTAGACGTAGTAGAAAGAGAGCGGGGGGCGGGGCTACACTGACGAGCGTTCACGACAGCCACACACTCCCTCCTCCGGGCGTGCATGTGACTGACTGACTGACTGACTGCTGCCGCTGCGCAAAGTGGAGCAGTTCAGATCACGACTAATAATTCACCATCCATCCACTCTACGAGCATCCAAACAGCGTTAGCTTCGCGCCCTTTTTGATTTATACACGGTATTTATATTCATGAAGAATTTGGAGTCATTCTGGAACGCCTTCGAGGAATTAACCAACTGGATATTTTAGACTGTGAATATATTAAATCCAAGGAATTTCCAGTACATATATTATCATATTTTGCATGTGGAGAAATGTTAAAATTGGTTGTTACGTTAATAGTTAGAAAACACAGATAGACAGAGAGAGAGAGAGAGAGAGAGAGAGAGAGAGAGAGAGAGATAGAGAGTTACATAGAATATTGATTCAATTTAAATTATTCCATAGGGTTTTTACAGAACAGTTTTTTTTCCAGAGAGCCAAATAATTGATCTGGGATAATTTATTGTGATTAATATGACTGATATAGTTAACCGATTGGATTTTCAAGTGTTCACATGAACATTAAGATACTCATAGCCAAAACCCAGCAAACAGAGAATGGTCCCTTAGGGTCCCATATGTTTCCTGCTCCCTTTTGGTAATTTTTTTTTGGGGAACTAAATAAGAACTTTCTGTAAACAATCTCTGCAAGATAATCTAAAGATAACTTAAATGTGCAGTGATGTTCTCCTAATATATCGGTAGACCCACACCAAATCTGTGTACGCAGAATTCTGCAGATATTCGCAAATATTTAGCCCATCATAAATTCTGTTTATTTACTTGTGTAACTGTGCGTAAATTTGTAGTTATTCAGTTTTTAAATTGATTCCAGTAATATTATTGACCAATATAAAAATATTCACTTGATTTATTTACAATACAATTTGTTAAGTCATATATTTTGTATTTTAGTAGATATATGAGAGACTTGCTTTGTTTACCAAAAAAGTCGATATAATTGGATTTACATTGTATTATTAAATATCATGTTAAAAGGTATTATTTTTTATTTTATATATAAATTTTTTAGTTATGATACTATCAAAATCCTTCCACATAAATCCGCATATTTTTAGCAAAATTCTGCGCTGAAATATCAAAAACTGTCTGCAGATTCTGTCTGGCCCTACTTATAGGGTATGATATGTGTTCTCAAAAAAAATGTCCTAGCTAACCAACAGATTTGTTTCTGGAAACAGAATAAAATATTAGTTACACTGTAAAAAATGCAGGGTTACAAACAATTCATTCATGTTGACTGACCAAAAATTGATTAAGTTAAATTTATGTGGATTAAACATAAAAATATTAAGTTGTCGCAATTAAATCTAAAGAATTATGTCGTTTCAGCTCATTTTAAATAAGTAGTTTGAACAAGCAAAAAATAAATAAATAAACTATTTTGAGTAAAAGAAACATTCACAGTTTAACAGCCAAAACAACCAATAATAATACAGTTTTTGGAGACCATATTTGCATATCGGGGTACATTTGTATCTAAACAAACATCAGATATCTTGCTTTTTGTGACTAATTTTGTAATGCACACTGGCAGACATGTAAATAGTCATTGCAATCATTAGAATATCATTGCATTCTAAATAAAGTTAATCTCTGTATGTCTATACAGATAACACATTAATAATTATCACATTAATGTACTAACATTGTGTGTATTGCCATTAATAGGTTTTATGGGAGTGGTTTAAACATTTTAGTATTTATGGAATGCTGTGATTGGCTACTCAAAGGCTAACATAATAAAAAATGAGCACAAATACATTTTATTACCATTAGTATTTACTTGAAATGAACTCAAATAATAAAATATAATAATTTTTTTAAATCAGACATTTTTATCAGGATCAAAACGGCCTAAAGTTAGACGATTTTTCATTGCACCTTTAGTCTATTGCAGTCTTAGTTTCTCCCCTCACTGCACGCTTCTATTGTGCTGTTGATATTTGCATATTCACTGCACTAAATCTGAACATTTGGAGATTTTGAAATTCATTGTACTGCACCATTTTTCAAGCAAGCTCGCAGTTGTCGTGATGTGCGGCACTGCAGTACTATGTGTTCAGCTTCCGTGATATGGGCTGAGTCACCTAACTTGACAGAGTCAGGCAAATGTATTTACACCATGAAATGACTACCTCCCCCCCTGCTACCCCAAGCTTGTGTCAGTCAGCTGTGCCTCCCCTCATTTCCCCTCCTAATTTTATGCTCATTTGAAATCATAAATATGCAGGGTTGACATGGTCTTTAAAGCGAGTTCAGACAATTGACTCTGTGTCTGCTTGTTTACTGGAGCATTTTCCCTATCATTTGCCTTATCGCTGTGAAGTTGAACCATAAAATCGAATCAGCGGCACTCAAATGATGTTTTACTGTAGATGTTCTGGTAGTTCACTGGTTTGAATTCACTTGACATCAGATTTGAAGAAATTGCACATTTTTAGTCTATTCATTTGAAATCCACTGAGAGCAACAGTAGAACGAGATACCGTAAAACATCACAGGAATATAATTTGATTTGGTTTTCACAGAAAGGCTTGAGCTCTGAATGTGGTGCGATAAATTGGCTGCAGCCACTAGATCGTCAGTTTATATTTTGCTCTTTTCACTCCAATTACTTTACAGCGCTGTCTCTTGCCTTGCTCAGGGCATACTTGTATTTATTAGAAGGGCTGTTTCCTCTCCTGATGCCCCAGAGGTCCATCATCAGGCTCCTCCATCTCTCTTTGGGGACGTGAGGAAGTCTGGGAATGCTCTGTAACAGATCAATGTCAATTTCAGACTGAAAGGAATAGACTGTGGAAAGAAGGTACCTTGATATCAATAATGTACCCTTACTGATCCATCATCAGCTAAGAGCTCGGCTGGTATCAAAGGTTAAAAACCCCTTTATTGAGTTGTCTGGTAATATAGGACCAATAGGATGTGCGGAGAGTCTTGTTTTCTGTAACTATAGTCCTCAAACTGCTGGAACATGCACTCTTAAAGATTCTGCTTAAACATCTATAGATGTACATTCACTTTAAATTATGCCCATGTTCATTACATCAGCATTTATTTGCACCTTCTTGTAGTAATGATGGTTAAAAGAGGTAGTCTCTCAGAAATAAAAAAATCTAGCATGACTTTCAAAATAGTAGAAATGCATGGCATTTTTTTTTCTATGGCGTTACAAAGGAACCTGTAGTTTTCATTATTGACCCAATTCCTGGTATTTTAAACGAGAGGATTAAGCAACTGTTGGAATTTAGATGTTTTGGTTGTGTCATAGTGTAATTGCATGTTTTGTGGATCATTAAAACTGCTCTGGAAGAGAATCTTGTGGAACAGGACTATAAGGCAAACTCATCGTGAATTGCAGTCAAGCATTTGACAACAATATTTGAAGAGCCTCATGGCATTTAAAAACAGCTATGTTTTTTTTACTATGCTAAATC